TTTCAAATGTTCTTGAAATCATACTCTACATTATGATCCTCTTTTTTCACTTAATTTTAAATCAATTCCCATGTCATTAAAACATTTGCAAACACAATGTCAATAACTGCAGTTCCAGAATGAGTGCATTGTAATTTACCGATTTATTTTCTGCCAATTTGGGACTACTAAAAACATGACACAATTAACTCTGTAGAGCATTGAGTTATGTCCACATTTGCTGGTTATTTTATTTAGGCTATGAACACTTTTAGAGCTTTTGTCCACACGAACAACAACAAAAAAAATTTTCCAGAAAAACTGAAATCGGCTCCAACCAGCAATAACAGAGAGACTCCCACATCTTTCCTTTTAATGTTTGCTAATCTGCTGGGTAAAAGTGGGCTATTGTCACTTTAATTTGCATTTTTTTTTTTTTAGATTATTAGTGAACTTGGTTTTGTCTAGGTTAATGATTCATCTTCTAAAAACTGATCACATGCTCTAGTTAAGTTGGCCTCTCTTCCTTCACCTCCAAACATCCCAGCCCTGAACCCCCTTGCCCCAGGAATTTATGCCCCATCTCAGGCTCCAGAATGCCCCCTTCCTCCCTGGTTCTGCCTCCATTGCTGGCAGCCTCTCCCATCCCTCCACAGGGCCACAGAATGACCTTTCATGGCCGCCGTACCTGTGGAGGCTCTTCGCTCTACCTGCCTGAGGTCCCTGAACCAGAGAATGGAACAACCAAGTCCACACCTAGAATTGTTCAGCAGGCTGCAGGGGCTGTCATCTGTCTGGGGTCAGTGCTGACAGCAGGGGCCCTTACTACTCTGACCTGGGCCCTGTGCAGAGCGGGGGCCTAACCTGCATGACCCTCTCATCTTTTCCTTTCTCATTTTTCCTCCTCTCCCCATTATTCTGACTCGGCCTTTAATTTTCACAAATGATACAATTTGGTGGTTTGGAATTTCTGCAGGAGAATTTCTGTGATCCTCCAAGCCCTGGGGCCTGTTTGCCCTCGTTGGAGAAGAGGAACCCTGGATGATCCGCAGACCCCGTCAGGCTGTGGTAACAGGCAGGGGCGGTTTGAGCTGTGGAGTGTAAACCTGGTCCTTCTTAGTGAGACTTTGCAGAAATCCCACTGGAGATTTTTCTGCCCCTGCCCTGTCTACTTTCCTTCATAATGATAAATGGCTGAAAAGAAAACTATCTAATCTCCAAACTGCTGGCTTTTTTTTTTTTTCTCCTACTCTCTCTTCAAGGAGAGAAGGAAGAACACAAGTCACATAAAACAGAGTCCTTCATCGCCTGCTTCTCAGGAGACGGTTCTTTCCCTTTTCATCCAGGCCTGTTTCTGATCTGTGATGGGCTCACATTGAAAGCTCCAATGCAGCCCCCTCTAATCAGCTGCGACAGACGCTGCAGTTTCTTGGGCTGCCCATCGAAATTGAACTGATTACCTGGCCCCTCTGCCATTTTGTTCTGTGCACAATTGCTTAATAGCTGTACCTTGGCTTTCAGTCCCAGCCAGCCTCAGGTTGACTGGTTCCCATTACTCAGGATGGCCAGTGCAAGTTCATCACCTTTACAGGATGTCCCTGATTGATTCCGTATGCCTTGGAGACCTGTAATATATTTGCATAGGGGCGGTTGGGGGATGGATTGGAAATCTCTTGGCTGCAGGAGCTGCCAGGTTTCACTGCAGGGTTCGCCATGTTTGAATCATTACCAGGACTTCTTGTCAGGAGTCTGGCCTCTGCTGACATCACTGCTAATGAATTTGTAAATTTTTTAAAAATACAAAACAACCCAGACTGCTCTAACCTTTGCTGTCGCCACCTGCCGCCTGGGTGGGGGGCTGCGAGCAGAAGCGGGGCTTTTTCTAGCCTGAGCTTGTGCAGGTCTTTGAAATGACAATCTCTCTTCCCCTGCCCTGCCCCCATTCCCAGGCCCAGTGAGCAGGAGAACCTGGGCTTGGAGGGAGACATCTTTCAAGTGAAATCTTTGGCGCTGGGAACTACTTCAATTAGACAGCAGGGGGAATGTTAACATGCCCTCCGGCCTTTTAAGTGGGTTTTAATTTTATGTTGTAAGATAAGACACTGCAAGGCCAGGCTGCTACTCCTCCTGCAGGCTCCATTAGTGGGGTGAGCCGAGGCCTCTTGACCCTCTGGGGCCCAGCTGAGGCTGGAAGTTGGTTTGGTTTTTTAACAATTTGTCAGTCTGACCCAGCTTCTCTTTTCTTCTCCCTTTTGTTTTTCCAGGCTCTTCTGTTGCTGAGGACCGTTAGGTGGCTGAGCTGCCCTGAAAGGCCTGTCCCTGAGCTAGCAGCAGAGCACTGGAGGCCGCCGGCCTGTGGCCACACAGCTGAACGGTAATCGGCTTCTTTTCCCTTTCCAGGCTGGGCACAGCAGACACTTGTCATGTGGCAGGTTTCTGGCCGATGATGTATGACCTGCTGGTGCTACTGAATGGTGCCCTTTGTTCCAGGAGATCCCACGTGCCCCCTTTTTATTGAGTTGTTGATTCAGAGGGCCAGGAACATTCTACAAATCCTGCTGCAGGCCCAGCTCTTGCCATGCCCAGGTGGGGCAGGCAGGGGAGCTCATGCTTCCCAGAAAGCTGGTAGGAAGCTGCAAGCTGCCTCAAAGCAAGATACCCCTTAAGGAGTGGCTTTCTTTACCTCAGACTCAGCCAACTGAGTGTTTGGAGAGTGGAAACCTGGTCCTAGATGTATGGACCTGCATCTAGCCCTCTATCTGGGTCCTAGAAGCTGTGGTGAATCCCACCCCAATAGGATACTGTTTGCAGAAGGAGCAGGACAGGTGTGAGTTAGGAAGACACCCCTTCCCTGCCCCTGAGCAAGTTTGGTTAAGTTTTTCTCTGTGACCAGTGAGCCCAAGGTGGGAGCCAACAGCTAAGGGAGGAGGGAGCTTGGCCTTCTGCTCTGCAGGAAGAAGCCCAGCCAGAGAGCATCTCAGACCCACATCTCAGACTATGGGGAGACAGCAGTCAAGGCTGACTTCTTACCCAGCAGGAAATCTCTTAGTCCTGAAGAGGAGGATGATTAAAGGGTACCCTACCCTTTCCTCCGTTCTGCTGGGTTTCCAGACCCACCTTCAGTGAAGATGGCGGACAAAGTTGAGCAGCTTTGGTGAAGGGGCCATGAGGGCAAAGGCCAAGGGTGGTGAGGAGGAAGGTGCTGTGGGGTCGCCCTCCTCACCACCCTACACCTACTTCTCCTCTAGTGGGTGAACCTGGGCTGGATTTCATCCTGTCTCCATCTTATGGCCAAGAGATCTGGCAAAGGAGTAGGCAGGAGGAGCGCTCTGCCAGAAGTGAAAGTGGCTGATGAACTCACACATCTGGCGGCTCCAGGAAGCCCCAGGCTGACTCTAACCTGCTCTTCAGTTCCTTTTCCAAAACACCTGCATGAATCCCACCAAGAAGTCTCTGTTTATGAGAACACTTCCCCAAATTGCCAGGTTGTGTCAACTGCTAAAAGGTAACAGATTCTTACTGCCTGTGCTACACTTCTGGGGCTTTGTGGGCCCTGGAATCCAGCCCCATAACCCAGGGAATAGCATGAGATCAAAGGTACAGCTGTCCATGGGTCCTATATTCCTTTACCCTGAGCTCAGGGCCCCACCTGGCACTCAAGAAAAAAATACCAGCAGAGGGGGAGGCAGACAGTCATTGCTGGGTCAAGAAATGGCAAGTCAGTAATAAAGAGTAACCACACATTTCACAGTTGTAAGATGGTTTTATGTTCTGATATGTAAAATAAAATGTCCATGCTATATAACAAAACACTTGAAGTTCCATATCACCTGTTAGCTAATGTGTTTTCTAATAAAGCTTTATCCATAGTGTGTGTTTATATAATATATATGTTTTATCTAAACCATTCTTAGTTTTTAACATCAAACATGTAATAAAAATTTAAATAGATGTCTTTCCAAAATACCCCCTCCAGCATTAATTTTTATTAACTTTATTCATTTGCAAAAAAGCAAAGCTGAATTTGACATGTGGCCTGCGTTTGTGAGATATATAATATATATATATTTATTTATTTATATAATATATAAATAGCTATTCAACATGCAAAAAGTTTAGTGATTTCCCAAATCTGATTTCGAGTTCACACCAGCCACCCCAATGGTCTGGTGACGTTCAATGCTAAAGAACAGGGCCAAAGACTATGAGATCACCCCACTGCAGAAAAATTATCTTTGTTCCTCTAAGCTCATTGGCTAGACTGACCAAAAGAAATGAATTTTTGTCAGTTTGCAGTTTGCTTTTTTTTTTTTTTTTCTATTGGGCTCTTGCTCCAGAGGCATGAATTCTCTGGGAGCAGAACGGGCCCAGGAGTTGCCTGACATCAGCTCTGATGTGGTCTCTGGGGGATGCTGCCAGGTGAGGTGTGCTTCACAGCTGCTGACCGTAGGGTGCACAAGGTGCCTGACAGGCCAAGTCTTATATACCAGAAAGAGACTGCATGTTGGGGACGGAGGGGGAAGGGCTTTGTACTTGACAACAAAACCTGAAAGATGACAAAGATGCTATTAGTTATATTTCTCTTCCTGTTGTAGGAAAAAAAGAAAAAAACCCACTTTAAAAATACCCATGGCCCTTCCTGAAAGTCATCCTGCAGACCCTGGATGTCAATGCAGCTCTGGAAGTCAATGCCCAGGCCACTAACTGAGCTGCCAGCTCTACTTCTAAAGCACACTCTGAGGTTCAATAAGTCTCACAGAACCTCCAGAAGCCAGAGGAAGGGGCCTCCCAACCCCACAAGATCTGCAGCTCCCCTTGCAAGCGGCAGGCCAGGAACTCTAAGGTGTGCACAGAGGCCTCCTGCCCCAGCAGAGACTCTCTCCCTGGGGCAGAGACCTCACCACCGGGCCCCTGAGTGAATCAGATTATATTATTAAAACCTCTAAATAACTCAAAAAATTTTTTTGCCATGGCCTCAGATGTGTCAGAAGATTGATGCTCCCCAGATACATCCATGCAGGCACAGCACATAGGCCGACACACCCTCTGAAATACCTCCCCGCGTTCCTTGGTGGCGCGGGCCACCCACAGAGGTTAATGGTGGATTGACAAGGTCCCGGGGCTGTCGAGGAGACCGGGGAGTCATCCGTCAGTCCAGTTCTCTACAGTCCCCACGCCTGAATGGTACTGTAAGGAGGACTCCCGGCTCAGGGAGAAGCTCTGTGAGTAGAGGAACTCGTTGGCGGCGCTCAGGTGTGGCGAGGGCGGCTTCCGCTCACACACGGCTGGGAGGCCGCGCTCTCGAGGGAACGAGGCCGCGGGTCCCCGCTCCCGGACCTGAGATTGTGACAGCTGGTTGTAGACACTGAAGTGGGCGTTTCCTGGCGGCTGGGAGCTCTGGGCAGAGATGGTGGGCAGCCGAGGCATCATGGTGGTGGCCGTGAAGTGCGTGGGGAAGGGCTGGTAGGGCACAGTCTCCATGGTCTGCACGCTGTAGCTGGTGTATGGGGACACGGACGTCCACATGTTGCAGCTCAGCGGAGGCGGGGGCAAGTCCTCCACCCCCGACACCCCGGCAATCTCAGGCCCTGAACCTGAGTACATACAGGCTTCTCTGGGGGTCACCTCACTGCAATAGGAGGGGCTCAGCATCTGCTGGTCGTAGGGAGGGGGGGAACGGAAATAGTGATCCTCCCCCACCGAAGAGGGAGCTTCTAGATAGGACCGTTTGCAGGGCAAGTCCAGGTGGCGGGCACTGTCTGCTGGAAGACAAAGAAACAATCAGGAAGAGTGGCTTGTCACTCAGTGCCTGCCCTTGCCCCAAGTGGCACTCCCAGAATCATCTTAATCAGCTCCATCTTTTATAAGGTGGTGGCAGCCAAGACGTGGTCAGATTATGGAGCCTACTCAAAGGCCGTGGGGGACACCACATCACTGGACACTGAGTGATGTGCTAAGCCAGGCAGCACACAGCTTTGATCCTCTGCCAGCCTGACTCTGGGGATGGGAAGAGGCCCCAGTGTGCACCGGCATTCTTCTATGAGGCTGGCCCTGGCCAAGGAAAGTGCAGGCAATTGCCAGGCCAAACCAGGCCCAAAGACCACATCTGTCTGATCCAGCCAGAAAATTAAGGCCACAATGTTTCTGCCTCAACCCTCAACTCCTAAGGAGGGCCTCAATAAGCCAAGGCTAGTGGCAGGCCAGATTCTGTTGTTTTTAGAAGAGGAAGTTAACCCTGCTGCACTCACAGAACACCCATACACAGATCCCATTGTAACCGTGTCTATGTAATCAAGGAACAAGCCGAGCACAGTGGCGCACACCTGCCATCACAGTGATTTGGGAGGCTGAGGCAGGAGGATCACAAGTTTGAGGCCAGCCTTGGCGACTTAGTGAGACCCTCTCTTGTTTTGAAAAGGGCTAGGGATGTGGCTCAGCAGTACAGCGCCCCTCTGTTCAATTCCCAGAATAAAAAAAATTAAAAGAAACACAGCTGATAATAACTGAAAAGGATGACATAATTTTTAGGCTGAGCTGATACTCTAGAGAAAGATGACATCAGATGCCACAAATCATGTCTAGGGAGGGCTGAATTCTCTGGAATGACATGTTCTCCCCTGAGATCCTGGGATGACCCAGGCCTAAGGGCTGGAGTAGCGGCCCACTCAACAAATTTAAGAACACTTCTCTGCAGCTTATCTTGGCCTCCCTCCTCCTGTTTTCTCCAGGGATTCATTCTGGGAGCTGTGTGTGTACACAGGGCAGGGGGGCCCGGGACAGGGC